TCCCCGCCCAGGAAAGCGTCGAAGCCCGCACCGTCCCCTGCTGGCGCCGCGCCTGCTGCGGGCGCCGCTGCGGCCTCACCTCCGCCAGGCTGGGCGGCGGCTGGCTCGGGGGCGGGCGCGGCGCCGCCTGCAGCGGCGGGAGCCCCGCCCTGCGGGCGAGCTGCCTTCGCTTCCTCGGCGAGCTCGTTGACCATCTTGGAGAGCTGCTCGAGGAGGTCCTGGCCAGAGACACCGTCGGTGTTGAGCGAGCCGAGCTTCTCCTTGATCGCGTCAGGGCTGATGCCTCCGCCGTAGAGCGCGGCCGCCTCTCGCTTGGCCTCCGCGAGCTCCTGCTGCAGCTGCGCGATGACCACCTTCGTCGTGTGCACCTGCTCCAGCGCCTTGCGAGCCACCTCCGAATCGCGCTGAAGCCGATCTTGGGCATCCGCGAGCTGGCGAGCAAGTCCGTCCACCTTCTGAGGTGCCGACCTCCCCACCAGACCGAGAGAATGAGCGCGACGAGCAGCCTCAACCTTCCCACGAGAGGACTGCGTGAGGGTGAGCTTAGTCGCTTCCCACGTCTCCTGCCCGAACGTGGCCCAAACCTTGACCTGCTCCGCGCTGAGGGTGGTGCCCGTGGAGCCCTTGTCGCCACCAGCACCCTTGCCCTTGAAGAGCTTGCCGTTGTGACCCCACTGGTTGCTCGGCGGCGAGTCAGCCCACTTGCCACGGGTGGGAGGCTGACGAAGCTGCCAAGGTTGCTGCCAGGGCTGCCCAGCTCCACGTGGAAAGCGAGGTCGCATGCCGCCGCATCCAGGCTTCGTGCAACGGGTGCGGTCGGCCGCGTGGTACTCTCCACAAACGCACTGCCACTGAGGTGCCATGGCCGAGACAACCACAGTGTTATAAGTGCCAAAACGAGGGAAGCCGCGCGCGCCGATGGAAGTCGAGCTCGGGGAACAGAGCTATCCCGTGGTGGCCAGGAGGCTTGCAGCCCCCCAAGCATGGAGTCTTGAGCCAAAATGGCTACGGAAAGGATTGGAGCCACAGGATAAGGGCAATCTATAGGAACACGCGTAAAACACAAAGGATTCGTGCCCCATGGGAGGCCCAATCTATAGGAACATACGTAAAACACTCGTGCTCCAGGGGAGGCCCAATCTATAGGAGCACACGTAAAACACATGGGATTGGAGCCACTCCTGTGGCCTTCTGAGGCCTCCTGCTCCTGGGGCCTCCTGGGGCCTCCTGATGCCTTCCGGCGCTTCCCGTGGCCTCCTCGTGCCTCCTGTCGCCGCCTGGAGCATCCCAGAGCCTCCTGCGGAGGAGGAGGAGCAGGAGGAGGAGGAGGAGGGGGATGAGGAGGAGGAGGAGGAGGAGGAGGAGGAGGAGGAGGAGCTTCCTGTGACCTCCTAGAGCCTCTTCGGGCATCCTGTGGCCTCTTGAGCCTTCCTGCGGCCTCCTGCTGCTGCCTCCTGGGGCCTCCTGGGGCCTCCTCTCGAGCCTGCCGGAGCCTCCTGTTGGCATCCCTGGGGAGGGTCCGTGCCCACGCGTCTGGCCACCAGAACAGGCAGACCGATCGAGGCATCCTCTCAAAATCTGGCCCGCTCTGGGGTGCGAAACTCTGCGCCTCGCCTGTGGCATCCTCAACACCTGCTCCGAAAGCGGAGGATGCTGCGCTCGCTGGCAAGCAGGCAAACCGCTCGAGGCATCCCCGCCATGTTTGGCGCGAGCGGAGGGGTGATATGCCCCCTGGCGGCTCCCCCTTGGGGGTGCTGAAACCCGCGCCTCGCTTGAGACATCCTCAGAAGTTTTTCCGCCATCATCACCATCACCACCACCACCATCATCATCCTCGTCATCACCACCATCATCATCATCAATCGCATAGCATACCATAACCTAACATAGCATAGTCTAGCATGGTAATATAATATACCACATTACACCACATGGCATGCAATCACATAACATACCATATCACACATCGACCAATCATAATAAACCATAGCATGCAATATCATAACATGCCATCACCTACCATAACATGGCATAGCCTAACATATAGCAATAGCGCCGAACTAAACATAACATGGCATAGCATAATATGCCATACCATTCTATGGCATAGCATAACATGAGGAGGAGATATGTGTGTGTGTGTGGGGGAGGGAGTTGGCGCGTTCGGAGTAATAACAAGAACCCGATCCTTTGGATGTGGGGAACAGTGTCATGTGTTGTGAGCTCGCTCCCTAAGTTCCTGCGAAAACCACTGGTGTCCTGTCATCCGTGCCAACGAAGACCATGCTTGCCAGACAAGCGGACGTGCCCCCGCGCCCGCATGCCCAAATCAACCAACAACAGTCGCGCACTGGCTGAGCTCATGAGTTATATTCGGCGGCGAGCGAGGGGGGGAAGTGAGAAGGAGAAGGCCTTCTCGGAAGGTTCGAAAGTCCCCCGGCCTTCTGAGAAGTTTTCTAAGGCTTCCCTGAAGACAGAAAATACTTCTCTGAAGGCGCGAGCGCTTCTGAGAAGTCCCGCCGCCTTCTGAGAAGGCCTTCTCCTTCTCATTTCCCCCCCTCGCTCGCCGCCAATATATGTTGTCCCAGACAGGGGTGCCAAAAAGGACCATGCGGGCCCCACGTGCGCAGCGCCGCGCGCACACGTCGAAATCAGTCGAGGAACCAGTGTCGTTTGAAGCATGTCGAGGTAAAGCTTTTCGAATACAGTTGCAACTGGCCTTCAATGACTAACGCCTCCAGAGCGCTTTCCGCCTTTCCTCTCAATCGCCCGCCCTGGTGGCGACGGCTTTGCACGAGAAGGGTCTCCGCGCGGCACTGCCCTTCGTTTTGGATGTGTTATAGCACGTTCTGGTACGTGAGTGCATCCATGGCACCCTGGGTGTACTGCCAAAAAGTTGCGGGTGGGAGGGTGGGATGTTTGTTCGAGCAATGAAATTGAGGAATCTTAATTATGCATATGACTTGCGCGACGCAGATTATTCTCCTTTTAAAAAAGAGAATACACTCTACCCCCCCCCCCGGCGTTATCCGCCCCCCTTTCGGGTACGTAAATCATGTATGATTATGACCACATGTCCATCCTAAATATGAATTTACACTATCCCAGGGGAGCCGGTATCGGTTCCCCTGAGGTTACCATTGTAAAAAACAATACGCGGTGACATGTTTTGTGGACTTTTTCACGAATCTTTTGCGAAAAAATTGGCGAAGTGCACACGCGCGCGTCGTCGCGCGCGCATGCCTAAATTCTTCAAAAACTTTCGGTGTCGGAAGGATTCCGCAATCGAGTTTCCAAAAAACACACAAAAGCACAGGGTTTCGCAATTCTGATTTGCTAAGAAAGCTTACGCGCGAGCTCTTGCGAAATCTTAAGGAAACCATTGGTTTTTCAAGATTTTCACAAAATGCTACCACACGGGCTTCGCGCGCGCGCATGTCGAAATCTGTCGAACGCCCTTGCGCGTGTGCCGTCGCGAGAATCCTCTGCAACAAATGGGACGACGTGCAGACGCGCGCGATGTCGCGCGCGTATGCCGAAATCCTTCAAAACCCATCGGCTTCGGAAAGATTTCAACATCGTGTGTCCAAAAAACCTACAAAGACACAACGTTTCGCTACACGAATTTTCAACAAAAGCGTGCGCGCGCGCTCTTGCGTCGTCGTCGTCGTCGTCGCCGTCCTCCCTCCTCCCGCGTCGTCGTCGTCGTCGTCGCATACGTCGTCCTCTGTCTTTCCTCGTGTTCGTCGTCGTCGTCCTCTTTGGCGTCGTGGTCGTTTCCGCCGCCGTTGTCGCCGTGGTCGTCCTTCCTCCTCCCTCGTCGTCGTCGTCGTCCGTCGTCGGCGTCTCGTCGGCGTCCCTCCCATTTCGTCGCAGTCGTCGTCGTCGTCGTCGTCGTCTTCCCTCTTCCCTCGTCATTGTCGTCGTCGGCGTCGCCGTCCTTCCTCCTTCTTCGTCGTTCGCGTCGTCGCCGTTCTCCCTCCTCCCTCGTCATTGTCGTCGTTGTCGCCGTCGTCGTCCTCCTTCCTCCCTCGTCATCGTCTTCGTTGGCTGCGTCGTCGTCGTCTTCGTCGTCGTCGTTGGCGTCGGCGTCGTCGTCGTCGTCTTCGTCGTCGTCGATGTCGGCGTCGTCGTCGTCGCCGCCGTCGTCGTCGTCGTCGTCGTCGTCGTCGTCGGCGTCGTTGACGTCGTCGTCGTCGTCGGTGTCGTCGTTGTCGTCGTCGTCGGCGTCGTCATCGTCGGCGTCGTTGTCATCGTCGTCGTCGTCGTCGTCGGCGTCGTTGACGTCGTCGTCGTCGTCGGTGTCGTCGTTGTCGTCGTCGTCATCGTCGTCGTCGTTGTCATCGTCGTCGTCGTCGTCGCCGTCGGCGTCGTCGTCGTCGTCATCGGTGTCGTTGTCGTCGTTGTCGGCGTCGTCGAAGTCGTTGGAGACGTCGTCGGTGTCGTCGTAGTCGTTGTCGGCGGCGTCGTCGTCGTCGTCGTTGTCGTTGTCATCGTCGGCGTCGCTGTCGTTGCCAAGTGCCATTTGGTGCCCACCGTCACGGTCTTAAGAGATTTTGCTAACCAAGTTGCGGGTGGGTGGTTGGGATGTTTGCGCGAGCAGTGGAGTGGAAAACTCACTTGGAACAGAAATTAGTAATCCCCATAGGCTATAATCGCAGACATACATACATACATACATACACACACATACATACATACATACAGACATACATACATACAGGCAGAGAGAGAGAGACATACAGGTGTACACAAATACACATACATAAACATAAGCATAATCGTATGTATGTACACTTGCAAATACCTGTCCATACACATATACATACACATAAGTACATAGATACAGACAGACAGACAGACAGACAGACAGACAGACAGACAGACAGACAGACAGACAGACAGACATATCCTAAGCGCAAGAGCTAGACATGCTCGGGGTCCACGGAGGCAGAGACTTCTCAACGCGTGCGCACACCGCATCGCAAGCACTGCCCGAGGACGGCGGCCCCGGCCCGCTCGCCCACGCTCGTTGCGGATCGCGTGCTTGGGCCGCTCCGCGGCTCGACGATGGAGTTGGTGAAGATGCCGAACGCGGACAGTGACGGCGACAGCGACTCGCTTGCATCCGGGATGCAGGGCTGCGGCATGGCCAGCGAGGACGCGGGAGGGCAAGAGCATGTCCGTGTTCCCTCGTCGTCGTCATCGAGGATCGAGATCTACCGACGTGGCTTACAGTCGACGCGCATAGTAAGGACGAACGACTTTTTCAAGGGTACCCTTGGGTCCTTGCCTGCTTCAGCCTCTGTTGCCCGTCCCTGGCAATCTTCGCAGGCCAGTTTCTCAGGTTCCCTGGGGGTTTGGCCGCCTGCCGCCCAGAATACTTCAACTTCGGCCTCCAAGGGTCTTGCGTCCTTACCACGCGTCCTTACTATACGTTTTCACTGTATCCACTTTGGGGGGGGGCTTCTGGGGGCCTCGGGAGGCCCCTGGGGACCCCTGGAGACCTCCAGGAAGCCCCCCGAAATTGCAGGAGGCATATCCGGAGGCCTTCCCCCTCCCAGGAGGAGGAAGGGGACGACGGGGAGTTGAAGGATGGCGGGGACGAGGAGGACGGAGGAGGAGGAGGAGGAGGACGGAGGAGGAGGACGGAGGAGGAGGAGGAGGAGGATGATGATGATCACGGTGGTGGTGATGATGAGGAGGCGGAGGAGTGTGAGAGTAGATGCCACATCTGCTCTCCCAGGACTATGACAGTGGCAAGGACGTGCTCCATGCCGAGCCAGGTTCCCTGCAGCATATGGCGATCAAGGAGGAGGAGGAGCAGGAGGAGCAGGAGGAGCTCGGCCACGCCGCAGGAGCAGGAAGAGGAAGAGCAGAAGGACAGACGAAGGATGAGGAGGGACATGAGGAGGGACTAGCCACAAGGCGATTAAGCTGACCTCTCACTACGTATGGCCAATCGTCACCACGACCATCGTTCTGCTGCAGACAGTCGTGCTCGGCATTGTCGTGGACGCGCAGATGCAGGAACTTCTCGGAGACCAGAGGCGAGGGCACTGGACCCGGACGGCTACTTTTTATGAACAGGTTGCGAAAGGGCTCATCGTGGTCTGGATGGTTGAGATTTCGATAAAGTTAGTCGCAGAAAGGAGCCGGTTCTTCGAACGCGGGTCGTCTGGTTTGGGCAACATGTTTGAGGTGTTCTTGTTGTCGTGCGCTCTGCTAGATCTGGCGCAGTCTTTTATTCCTCTGAGAGGTCGTATGATTCAGTGTGTTCAATTCATCCGGGTGTTCAGGGCCTTCAGGCTCATTCGTCTGCTCAGTGTTTGCCAGCATTTCAAGGCTTTGCACCAGTTGCGTTGGATGACGTTGTACATTTTGACTTGCATACCGACTTTCGGTTGGGCACTGGCGTTGCTAATCATGTTCATTTTCATTTGGGCGATCCTCTTCGAGGACCTCGCGATATTTTACTTGGAGCAAGACTCAGTTGACAGGAGCGACGAGGTGGTAGATGATCTCAGAGAAAATTGGGGATCCATGAATCTTGCAATGATTTCGTTGATATTCTCCCTCACTGGTGGTGCTGACTATGGCGACCTCATGAAGCCGTTCCAGATGATCAGCCCCGCTTTCGGGTGGATCTACATACTCTTCGTAGTTATGGTGACCCTTTGTCTCCTCAACGTGCTGGTTGGCATTTTTGTGCAGGAGTCGGAGGACATCAAACTGCCTGGGGTAAGTTCCGCTACCGTGCCCTTTGTGTGGCGACTCCTCGAGCACCGCCCAGAAGGCCGTAGAATGTTGCACCTCTTGTTTCTATTGGCGTTGTCTTGAGCTCCTGGGGGGCTGTCGTGGGGCCATCTTCTAGGACCGTCTCAAAACTCGCCTGATGTGTGTTGGTGCTGTCTTGGGCCCTGTCGGCCGCCCGGAGAGTCTCTCAGAGGCTGTCTTGGGAGCATTACTGGGCCATCTAAGGCGGTCGCGGGCCCATCCTGTGCCATCTTGGGGCCCTCGTGGGGCTGTCCTGAGCCGTTCGGTGGGGCAGCTTGGAGCCCTCATTGGGTGCTCGTTTGTCACTCTGTGGTTCCTCCGAGGCCCTCCTGGAACCACGTCGAGCCGAGAGGCTCAGTAAACCCACAGCATGAACGATCTCAACCGCACCCAATTTCTCCACACGAGGCGTATATTTGAACGCTCCGTATGCAAGAACACATCGCCAGAGATGCGCGATCTGCGCTGCCCTCACCTCCGCCGTGACCCCCAGAAGCACGAAATTGGCGACAGCTGCGCAGTTCGCAGCCACCGAGGGAGCCGCGAGGTCTGAAATGGATCTGCGTTGCCTTCACCTCTGCTGTGCCTCCCAGGAGCGCACTAATGTGGCGACAGTGGCGCAGTTCGCAGCGCCCGAGGGGGCCGCGAGGCTTCGGCTGGGTGCGCGTACAGCTCCATTCCGCTCGCTGGACCTCCCAGGATCCCACAAAAAGCGACTGGTGCGCAGTTCGCAGCCACCAGGGAGCCGCGAGGCCTCGGCTGCGTCCGCGTACAACTCCACTCCGCGGGGGCCCACGAACGGGGCGACAGATGCGCAGTACGCAGCTACAAAAAGAGCACCCGACTGCGCATGGTGTGACAGCAGAGAAGAGGCAGGCAGACAAGCAGGCAGACAGGCCGGCAGGCAGGCAGGCAGGCAGTCAGGAGGCAGGCAAGTTGGCAGGCAGGCAGGAGGGAGGAGGAGGAGGGGAAGGATGGGAGGGAGGGAGGGATGGAGGGGGAGGGAGGGAGGGAGGAGAGGAGGAGGAGGAGGAGGAGGAGAGGAGGAGGGAGGAGGAGGAGGAGGAGGAGGAGGAGGAGGAGGAGGAGGAGGAAGAGGAGAGGAGGAGGAGGGGGAGGAGGAGGAGGAGGAGGAGGAGGAGGGAGGGAGGAGGAGGAGGAGGAGGGAGGAGGAGGAGGAGGAGGAGGAGGAGGAGGAGGAGGGGAGGAGGGGAGGGGGAGGAGGAGGAGGAGGAGGAGGGGGAGGAGGAGGAGGAAAAGGAGGAGGAGGAGAAGGAGGAGGAAGAGGAAGAGGAGATGGACGGAGACCACAGTGCTCTATTCAAAACGAGAATCCAACACAGGATGGTTTGGGGGAGGATATCTTGCGAAGTACCCAACCATATGTATGTGTGAATACTGCATTACGGGTACCGGTTTCGGTGGAGCTCCTTATGAGGCCACGAAGCGTGTGAAGAGTGTGCCGACGTGTAGCGGGGACCGCATGCGAAGCTTGCCACAGGGGCGTTCAGTGAAGCTCCAACTGGGGCCACGAAACGTGTGAGGGCGTGCCGAAATGGGACGGGGCCGCCATGCGAGCCCCGCAACTGGGGCCTTCGGCGGAGGTCCCTATGGGGCCACGAAGCTTTTGTGGGATGTGCCGAAGTGGGGCGGGGCCGTTCTGCGAACCCTCCAACTTTGGCCTTCTGTGGAGCCCCTCATTGTACCACGAAGCGTGCGAGAGGTGCGCCAAAGTGTGGCGGGGCCGCAATGCGAACCATCCCACTGGGGCCTTCGCTGGAGCTCCCTATGGGGCCAACAAAAACTTGTAAGGGGTTTGCCGGCATGAGGCGGGGCCGCCATGCGAACCTTGACATTGGGGTCTCATTTGGAGCTCACCACCACGAAGCGTGAGAGGTGTACCGATACAAGATGGGGCCGGCATGCGACGTCGGCATGTGGGCTTCAGTTCGGGCTGCCTATGGGCCACGAAATGTGCGAGGTGTGTGTGTGTGTGCCGAAATAGATGAGGCGTGGCGACCATGCGAACCCTCCAGCGTGGAGCTCCTTATGGGGCCACGAAACGTGTGAGGAGCATGCCAGAATGAGACCGGGGCGCCATGCGAGCCCCTGCATGTGGGCCTTAGTTGGAGCTCCCTCTGGAGCCACAAAACGTGTGAGGGGTATGTCGAAACGAGGCGGGGCCGTTATGCGAAGCCTGACGTGTGGGCCTCACGTTGGGTTATGGGCCACGAAACGTGTGAGGGGTGTGCCGAAGTGAGGCAGGGCCGCCATGCGAACCCTGGCATGTGGGCATTGAGGTGGAGCTCCCCATTGGGCTACGAAGCGTGTGAGAGGTGTGCCGAAATAAACAGGCGGAGGGCAGAGAGGAGGGGGATGAGGGGCGAGGAGGAGGAGGAGGAGGAAGAGGAGGAGGAGGAGGAGGAGGAATAGAGAGGTGAGGACACGGGGCGCTGTCTCTTTAAAACAAGGGCCCAATATCACAACATTGTTGGGAATAGGAATCGGCTAGTATTAAAGATGTATGTGTTGCTTGCCCAATGGGCGTCCTCTTGGCCTTCTCTTCTGTGTCTTGGAAGCCTCATGGCGCCTGTTGGGGCATGTTGGGCCCCACTTGAGGCAACGTTGGGCCATCGTGGCGACTGCAGTGGCCTTCCTAGGCTGTCTTGCAAGCGTTGGAGAGCCTTGGAGAGCCCCGGGCACTCGTCATGCCGCCGGGGAGCCTCGCAACCTTGCAAGGAGTGGGGCGGAGTTGCCCCATTTCGTAGACGTGCATAAACTCTACAAGACAGCACGTGCCGCTCTACCACGCCGCAGCGTGCCAAAGGGCACGTTGGCGGATAGTTACCTGGGACCGCAGTATAGTATTGACGAATGCAGTGAAAAAGAATGGTTTCACAGAAGACATCTTGAAGCAGCTGTTTCATGAGATCGACAAGAACAAAACTGGGTCAATCAGCTTGAAAGAGATGCAGACGGCCATCCAGCAGCCATCCATACGGGCGTGGTTTCTACACCTCGAGATCGACATGGTCACCAACGCGAAGGTTTTCTTTGAGCTCCTCGACGAAGACCTCAGCGGCTTTGTAAACGAGCAGGAGTTCGTGACTGGCTGCACCAGGCTCAAGGGCGGTGCGAAACCCCTGAGTTTGGAGAGCCTCGTGATCGAGACCAGGAAGCTAATGGAAGTTGTAAACCGCATGGACGCAAAGCTGGATGTCAGCGGCTTTACCGGGCGTGCGATGTCTCCCCGCTAGGCGTCTTGGGGCCTGGGCAGCTCTAGTTCGCCGCTGCGCGCTCGTACTGTGGCGGCGGGCGCTGTCTCACA